AGTAAATATACGAAGCAATACTACACACCTAAACGTCGGATAAGTTATTTATTATCCAAATTTTTTTTTTCCGTCAAGTGTTTCTGCTCATTTCTAATGTAGCGAGAAGGCAAAGCGGATAGAGAAGCGTAGCGCGCGCAGCCGACCGGTTAAATAGGTCTTGTACGGTACTTTGTCACCGAATGCACAATATCGCTGGATATTTGTACTGTGCTCTATTCGTACGTTGTTTGTACTCTACTTCTTGTTGTTAGGTAATAACTTTGATTTTTAGGGCTCATCATTTTCTTCTCCCCTAGGTACACAATTTTCTGTCGGGTCCTTGTCTGTTTCGAAGCCAACTTTGACGTGCGATTCCCCACCAACTATAAGAGAAAACAAAGGAAGAGAGGATGGTTAGACAGTCAATGTACCCGCAAGTGGGGGAAGAAAGGGGAGCGCCCTACCCTATTTGACCTAAAAGGATATAGTCTGTAAAGCAAAGTATGATCTGGGGAACTTGATTTTTAAATTGTTGTACATTTACGTCTTGCTGTCCCATGTGTAATCACGAACGAACCCCAGAGGTTTTAGGCGTCGTACCTGAGTGAAAAATCAGTAAAGCATTAGCAAATGACCATCTCCATATAGCTGGCTCGAATCTTAGTTTTTGATCTTTCCTTAATTAATTTTGAACTTCCATTGATATCTGTTACATGCTAATCCTTCTCAACGTACCTGTACTTTCTTCATTTTTCCAGAGATCCTGGAGCCTTGTCAGATCCCATACACTGCCAGAAATAAACATCCGTGCTACTAGTCCCCCAGAAGCATAAATCATGATGGCAGCCTGGCCTTCGCTTTCAAAGTCTTTCATCTATCCATAAACATTCATCTTGATATATCGCAGTTCTCTTCTGAATCATTGGCTTTTTCAGATAGAAATGGATCACAGTCTTCGATGTTTTTCCCAACCTTTTTCCTAACTGACTCTACCAGGGAATGAACTGTTACATCTGCACGAGAAAGGCATGCGGGTTTCACCTCCATTTCAACCCCAATTATGTGGTGCTTCAGAGCCATCACAATCTGCTTATCACGGTCGGCACCCTTTCTTGCCGACATGCAGCTGTAATCTTCAATTCTTCGCTTTTCATCTTCACCCGCCAAGTGATTCTTTAGCTTTTGCAAGGACTTCATCTCTAGAGAAATTTAAAAGTAGATAGCAAACATATACCATCGCTGTCCCTCTTCATGGATCTGGAAGAAAATGGTTATGAGGAGGTGTTAACTGAATCTCTAATGACTATTTAACAACTCTTCCACGAGAGCGCGTTGGATATGAGATGATAGATAGCCAAC